AGATATGGCTGCCAACCGATGTCAGTGGCGTTCTTGTTGTCAGTTTCTGTCCAGATAGCCTGAGTGAATGTCTGGAGGTGTAGGCACCTCGGAATGATTGTGTTAAGCTAGCTCTAAGTCCCTCCCCCATCCACCTTTATAATTTCCTTCACAATAAGGCTTTCAAATTAGTCATGGTTGTACGGCAGTGAAGCATCGGTGTTGAAAACTGATACCATGCTGTCGATGATGTATATGATATGCGGTCCAGTTGTCAACCCTGGCGAACAAACCAACGCCCAGATAGCACACCCGGGCTATCCGTATTTCGCAACATTGCTCTGGCAATGTCTGACAGGCAACAACACATTCATAGCTTCGGTTTGTTCTTTTCGGTTCCGCAACAAAAATCCTAAAAAGTGTGTCTTGCACCACACAACTCATAACCTGTTCATATTGATAAATGCGCTACTTCTGTTTCATTTTACAGCCGTGCTTCTGGTGTTTTGGATGCAACATCTTATTTGACCCCATTTAGCTGGATCCATGATGTTTGAGGATAGCTCCGGGTTGCGGGAGTTATTCGACACTAAGACGGCGCAGCTGAAAAGCAAAGCCCTATACGACTGTGGTATTCTACTTTCACATCAATATCATTCCGTAATTAGATTATCCATGCTCTGGCGTATTACCCACCGTGAATTCCACTTTCCTTGGTCCCATCTTGTGGGAGGACACGCTTCCCATATCAGATTTGGACACCATCAATTTAGAGGAATTCAGTCCCGAACTTTTAGAGCGTTCCGCTTCAGTCGCTGGGACTGTTGGGGTATGTTGGTAATTATTATTCAACTCGTGCTCCCTACTAGCATTCCTACTTACAGAACAACGAAGCATTTGGAAAAGTTCTGGACCTCGATCCTCTCACTCAACCACGAGTTAATCTAACGTGGACTGGAAGTAAGTCGAAACGCAAGTGCGCGGGTTTCATTCTTTATTAGCTCTCAAAATACTGACACTTTCTCTTCGAGAATCTCTTTCATTTGGAAAATTACATTTGGAAATTCATTTGGAAATTTTCAAAACCTAGTGGAGGACACGGGGCTTTTCTTTTCGGAACTGTGGTAACAATTGAGATGTTCTGTCTGGTGATAATCAGCCGATTGGTAGACAGCTGTCTAGCACGTACTGAGTCTTATCAGCATTGCGTGGATTTCATGAATTAAAGACACTCCTCTTCCATAACCCACCATGTTTTGTGGACCGCACATTTAGACTTGTAGTCCTAAAAAACCGCGCTTCAACCCTTCAATGTGCACACTGATAGTGGATCCTTCGGGGACGAAAAAGCTATTAACTGTTTTGTTGGTTATGGTTTATGGTTGTGGAAAAATGAAGAAATATTCCTCGAGCACCTTAATAACCCATTCAAAGTGCGCTAGATGTTTTTACGTGCGCGCGGAAACCACATACAGTCTAACCGCTATTGTCCTGATGACAGCAAAAGGGGAATAAAGTTCTGAAACTCCGGCTGATTTGACCGCGTCTCTTGAGAAAAGCCAATTTTACTTCCTGTAAACCGGTAGCCACCTTGCTTCAGGCTAGAAATTCAATTTCCGTTTTCAGTACGGGGTTTCTACGACACCAGGACAGCACCGTGAAAGAGCTGTGGGCGAGTACAGAACGCAGCCATAACCTTTTTGTCTGCGCTGACGGGATTTGCGATACAACGTTATTTTAACCACTAGAATGCCGTTTCTTCCTTTCTCCACTCGATGGCTATTCATTTTCGCTTTTGTCGACTGCCTGGCGATATGCACATGAATTTGATGACTTATCCCACTCAATTTCAGGACAGCAACATGTCCCTTCCACGTACTGAGGCACAACCCTCAGATCAGTACGTACAGTACGTACTCCTGTGTACACTCAGTGCGGCTTATGCCCAAACACAAGTTCCATGGGAGTCAGTGATATATACAATCTAATGTATATCAGCTTTTGTCCACACCTACTCTAACTCTCATGGACTACCCACTCTAGATTGCTTCATTGACCTTGAATTTAGCATTGCCGCTGACTGCTTCGACTTGCAAAATGACTTACCGTATCATGAAGACGAGGAAAGCGTTTGCTGATCTTTACTCACAGAGTTGACGGGATGTCACGCTACGTTGCGTCAGTCCGGGTTGTACTCGTTTGTGGGTGTGAAGGTTGGCTGTTGTCTGCGCCGTATACTCATCAGGTTTCAGCATTTAACCATGGTTGCATACAGAGTATCTCGCGTGCCTGCTGACTGCTGGGGACAGTTCAGTGGTTCACGCGCGAATCTACCGACCGGAGAATCTCAATCCTCACGTCCTTCGGGTGGCATGGCAATTAGAGACCGAAAGGGCGTCGCAGCTGAACAGTAATTTTATCTTCATTCTTTTGGCATCGATGCAAACGTTGTTGGCTGGTCCTTGATGCGGATTTGCCCGTCAACAGTTTATTGACCGCGGACGCCTGCGCATAATTATGGTAACAGAAATGCTTTGCGCAGCGATGGCCAAGTTGTTAGAGCGCGAATTTACTGACCGGAAGGCCCGTGGCTCCAACCCGACCTTTGGATCTCGACTTCTCCTGTCTAGACTTGGTTAATCTGGCAGTATCCCAGTCCTCGTGATCCCTTCGGGCGTTATGGTACCTAGGAACCGAGAGAATGTTACAGCTGAACGATTTTTTGCGCAGATTCAATCGTGCTACTGCAGGTGAGCCTGTGAATCCGTTGTAAACTTAAAGTGACTAGGTCCGTAGGCAAACTTGCAAAGCTCTTTGGCAGCCCAAGCATGACATCACACTGAGCTCTATCATTACATCAGGCAGTGGGTTGCTGATGTCATCTGTTAAGTCCTTTATGTTTCAGTACACTGCCGTACATCTCTGCAAAATACCGTACGATCCTATCCTCTGGGGACTGCCCAGAAAGAACCATTTCGATTGTCGTGGTCAAACAAATGGTCTAACTGCGAAAGCGGCATAGTTTCATCTATCAGATGCTGAAACAAGCTTACCTCGACTTATCCGTTTGGGCTCGCGATTGATTTGTACTGGAACACTGGTGTGTCGAAAGTTCAATTTAGCTGATGCAGATACGTCCACAGGCTGAGCAGCTTTATAAGTTTAACGGCGTTGGTGTTGTTACCTTCAACCCGAATGGACATTTTATGTTCAAGTACCGAGACGTTGAGTATTGAAACGAGCTACACCTGCACATATTGCACGATAGATGTCATTTTGTTTGAGTAAAGCCTTATAATAGAGAGAATAAAAACGGGACAGGGGAGGAACATAGGGCTAGTGCACCACATACATCTGAGATGCTTACACTTCCCACGCACAGTCAGATAATTTGGATAGAAAATGACAGCATGAATGCCACTGAAATCGGTTAGCTGCCTACCATTCAGTGCCTCCGGTGAAGCACAGGAAGGAAACAGCACGAACAGGTTCCAGAATTTTCTTAACATCCTTCATTCCCTTCCGCCATGTCGTGTTCTGTCCATCACTAGGTTTCCGCCGCTTCTCAGTGTTTGCTAACTCGCAAGGGAAAACACTGACCCAACCACCCTAGCTTTCAGTGCAGGATTCATTCTTTGAGTGAATCATCGTCTTGTTCACCTAAAGCGCGTTTTCTGGTCGCCTCACTGCGAATTCACTGGTTTCAGCCGATCCCAACTATGGGTTTGAGACACCGGTAGTCAGAGATCTGAAGATGTTTCATATCCGATGACAGGCGTTTCATATGGTCTGACAAGCGCAGCTAACTTTGGAGGATAGTCCTTGTGCTTTTCTGTTGTGGCACTCGGTTTATTTGATCCCATTCGGTTTTGAAAAGCAGTGGAGCAGTGTTGGAAAGTGACTGTTNATTTGGATAGAAAATGACAGCATGAATGCTACTGAAATCGGTTAGCTGCCTACCGTTCAGTGCCTCCGGTGAAGCACAGAAAGAAAACAGCACGAACAGGTCCCAGAATTTTCTTAACATCCTTCATTCCCTTCCGCCATGTCGTGTTCTGTCCATCACTAGGTTTCCGCCGCTTCTCGGTGTTTGCTAACTCGGAAGGGACAACACTGACCCAACCACCCTAGCTTTCAGTGCAGGATGCATTCTTTGAGTGAATTATCGTCTTGTTCGCCTAAGGCGCGTTTTCTGCTCGCCTCATTGCGAATTCACTGGTTTCAGCCGATCCCAACTATGGATTTGAGACACCGGTAGTCAGAGATCTGAAGATGCTTCATATCCGATGACAGGCGTTTCATATGGCCTGACAAGTGCAGTTAACTTTGGAGGATAATCCTTGTGGTTTTCTGTTGTGGCACTCGGTTTATTTGACCCCATTCGATTTTGAAAAGCAGTGGAGCAGTGTTGGAAAGTGACTGTTTTTCATTTTTTGTGCGTAATGAATGGTAATAGATGTCTTGGAGAAGTTACAGACATTGCGTTTTGGATCCATATACTTCTTCAGTTGCCCCAGAGAGCCCTTTGTGAAAATGACGACGGTGGTCTGTGCACTGCTATATGGCATTCATCTACCACTAGATCTTCAGTACTGGCAAACGTTCGAAATTCTGTGGCAGATGAGCTTTACGATTTCTCGGTACATACCGAAATTTTCTCGCTCCAGCTCGAACACGGTCGAAATCATCACCTACAAGCCAATCTTTTCGCGCTTATTTATTCATGCTAGATAGCTTTGCAGCATCCGGATCTGGAGGGCCAGTGCAGCTTTTGTGAACCTGCTTTCCTGTGGCATCAGCTTATCTGTCAAGGCTTGAGTTTACAATGCTGCGGTGCGCTCCATAGTAATATGGAGTAATATGGAGTAATATGCGGATCAGAAACCTGGCCGCTGCGCGCCGAGGACATCAAAAGACTTTCAGTGTTTGACCATCAGTGTCTTCTGAACATTGCCCGAATTTGGTGGGAACACCGGACCAGCAATGCTGAAGTACGTTGAATGGTATTCGGGAGAAATAACTCACCATCGATAGATGAACTGTTCACACTGCATAGGTCGCGCTGGTTTGGCCACGTGTTGCGTATACCAGTCGACCGACTCCTTCAAAGGGCTCTTTTCGCTCAACCACGTGAAGCGTAGAAACGAACCAGAGGCGGTCAAACAATGACTTGGCAGCGAAGTATAAAAGCCATTACCAGCAAATTCAGCTGCACTGGTCATTGCCGTCTTCCTGGATGGGGACCCCGAGACGGGCCACATCAACGGTTGGAGACATTGTCAAACATGGCCCAGTCGCGCCCTCAGTGGCGCCCATGCATCCAAGCTATTGTCTTCAATGCATAGATCCCTTCCCAATCCCCCCACTTAACAGTCCACCTACAGTGCTGTATTCACGCACTAATTTATCGGTTCCCACCTCCAATGCGCAGCTACCTACCCCACCTCCCCGAATCATCGGTGAACGAAAGTGCGGCGGCTACAACCACTGTACGACAACTGCGTGGTTATTACAGATGACAATGATCATGATGGTGGCTTCTTTGCAGCTTCACGCATGTGTTTTGTTTACAGTCCATCGTTCGTTCACTGAGCCCCCTTAGAGTTGGTTCCGACAGTCTCTTGAATAACACCTACAATGTCGTCACACTTGTTGAGTCTTTCAGTTTTTCGATACCCAGCTTCCTGGATTGTTGTTTTGTTCCGTAATGATGTAGTTTTCTCAAATTAACGTGCACCTTTACTTGTACCATGGAATATTCCGTGGTGAATTCAGCAACACACATCAATTTTGGTAAGGAGAATGTCTTCGAAGTCTCCTTGTCGGACAGTGATGGGGTCAATAAGGATGTTCTCGAATGACCCCACAGCTGCACATGCGGACAAAAGATGCTGACCTGTATCGTTTATCAGTTTATTTTTAGAGGGTCTTAGTATTTTCTTGACGAAATCGAGCATCCA